CATGTGTGATATGGACAATATAATGAAGCGCACAAGAAGAATTGTTGGTGAAAAAGGCCAAATAAGTCGAAGAAATGTACCGGGTGGTCCAATAAGCCGATCTCTCGGCTATATATCAGAAACTATTCATGTTATAACTTTAGGAGAAAAAATACCTTAGTAAAAGTGGTCAGAAGAAATCGCTGGAAATAACTTTCAAGTTTCTGGGTTAACCGTTAGGGGGCGTAACCTGTGAATAAAAATTTGAAAACCAGTTTTTTGTGAAATATGCCCAATTATATCAAGTGTTAAATAAGTAACCTAGAAAGAGGCCTTAATTCCGCACAAAGTTTTTCCAGTACTTTGTTTTTTATTTTTTCAAATAAAGGGTGGGGGAGAGTGGGAAAGTATTTGTGGATAAATACCTATAACTTTGGTTTGGATCAACCTATTTTAACGAAATTAGTGTCATTAGAAAGAGTATGGATGGTTTCATTTATATCTACTATAAAATAATTAAATTTAGTTTGAATTGTCATAGGTAGAGGGTACTTTTGAATGGAAAAAATTAAAATTTATTTTTCTTCAAAATGTTTAATGGAAACACCTATTTATTGTGAATTATATTGGAACTGGATTAAAAAACGGTGAAAACCGTATGTTGATATATTTTTTAGAACTCGAGATATGAATAAAAACGTATAAATTAAAAAAATGAAAAAAAAGTACTTGAACAACTTTGTGAAGAATTAAGGCCTCTTTCTAGTTTACTTATTTAACACTTGTTATAATTGGGCATATTTCTAAAAAAACTGGTTTTCAAAGTTTTCTTTACAGATTACGCCCCCTAGCGGTTAACCCAAAAACTTGAAAGTTATTTCCAGCGATTTCTCTTGGCCACTTTTACTGATAAATTTTTTCTCCTAAAGTTATAACATAAATAGTTTCTGATATATAGCTGAGAGATCGGCTTATTGGACCACCCGGTACTTCAAGGGATTACCAGCCATACTGGGAAGGGCTCATAATCAGCGTTTTTGTCGGTTTTTTTACCGGATAGCGCTGCCAGGAGTTTAAACCTGTTTCTTACCCTGTCTAGGGTGTCTTGAATGTCAGTTTTCCAGATGATAGTCCTTACTAGTTTGAATTGTCATTGTACAAATGACCGCCCGCCATGCCATACGCCCAATGCGAGGAGCTATTGATTATTTGATTGAGTAATCGTTATTTTAACGAAAAAATAAATCATGGCATACATATGGTCTACATAAGATACATACATAGAATACAAAACATATTCGTATTAAATTTCACTACAATGTAAGTAGTTTCGGCAAAATCGTAAAAAATGCGTAATTTTTTTTTCTTTAACGCCTTGTATCTTGAAAATGGTTGGCGTTACAAAAATTTTTAACTAAGTAAACCCCAATTATTTTTCAGTTTTTTACCTACCCTAGAGACGGGGTTACCTTTTTTTTAAACACCCTGTATAGAAGAGGGAAGATTTAAATATTTTACCATGTTAAAACGAGGTATGAGAGTCGAGAAATGGCCGCTAGAGATAGATGGAAAAAGTTTAACAAGGGAAGGCAGTGAAAACTGTAAAATCCTTAAATATATTATGTTAGGCAACTTCAAAGACAAATTTTTAATTAGTCTGTTAAGATTTTTCATCAAAATTGTACTTTATTATGTTATGATGTACCATACGAATTTTTGGACTATCCTGGTAATATAATGACCTTTACAAGAAATCTCTTATATCATGGTACTTAATTAGCGTGACACTTTCAGATTCAGTAAGCTAAAATTCTCTTTAATAATAGTCATTATACTTTTATTCACTAGGTTCCCATGGTACTAAGGAATTCCGCAAAAACAATAAAAACTGTCAAAACATTGTTAGACTATGATTATGTTTTAAAAAATGAGAGCTCTGCTTTTACCTTCACCTTGTTATTCTAATTATTATGATGTTGATTAACCGACAATTCGTCGTAGTGTACTTTAATGTTTATGAGATTATGGGGTCAGCGCTTTGGTCTTTGTGGTACTTATACCTAATTAAAATGCATTTACACTATGTCTGGGGTTTATACTTGATACAGGGTGCTGCAGCATATCGTTCGCGCATCATTATTAACTATTTAATCCTTAACATGTATGGCTGAAATGATTATAATAATATTGTAGTATTTTTATTAAAGTCTAATTCATTGTCTTTATTTATTATTAAAGGTTCTATTTATAACACTTACAAATTTATTAAAGTCTATATACATATTTACCAGTTTTTTTATTCGACCTTCTTCTGGAAACTTCGAATTGTAAGAGACCTGTCTGAAATTTCTGCCGGCTGGTTCTCATCGGAGGGTCGCACAATCTAGAATAGATCAGAATTAAAAAAAATATTTATGAGACATATTTATCGTAACATTGCCCCCCTCTTAAAAGATGGTTCCTCCTGGAACCTTGTCGAAACTTGAACTGGAACGGTATGCTGGTATGGGCAACTGGACCCTCTTTTACAACTTCCAGTTGTATAAAAATGACAAGGGACGGTTTTTTCTCCGCACCAGGAATTATGCGGATTGCAATAGACTAACACCTGGTTTTCGGTGTCTTTAAAGATCTCCTCCACCATATTTCGGATAGGCCTCCAATCTAATTGGCGGCACTCCAACTTTGGCATGGCTAACTTTTGCACGTCGGATTCTAGTACGTGCTCTCCCAATTGAAAAAAGGCTTCTTATACATCTCGGTAGGTAGGACTTGATACTACGTGACCACTAACGTGATGCATCTTGGAGTTTCAAGGTTTTCCCGGGAGCTGGCACTTGGCGTTGAAGTTCTACAACTCGACCAAACTTCCTTCGAAAGACGGATACCAACCCTGGTGCGTCTTTGATACTGGCTGGGATGGGAAGGACCAGTGAGTAGTCATCGGGAAGTGCGAGTAGAATTTGCCTTTCTTCAGTGGTAACACCATGTCTTGTTTTACCGGTACCTCCATGGGCACCCATGAATTCCTCAAACGTGAGGTCAGACACATCTTGGGCTTGGTTTACTTCCACTTCTTCATCTACGTCGTGGTCACCTTCGAAAGACGCCAGCCGGTTGAGGTGTACGATCATCGGCTTTCCCCTCGGAATCTTGCTTATTCGGTAGATGACATCCTTGATCTTCTCCATAATGAGGTATGGACCTTCCGAAAACTGCTGCAACTTGGGATAACAACCTTTTCGCTTCTTGGGATTATAGAGCCAGACTTTGTCGTTCTTCTTAAAACACCCCTTTTCGGCTTACGTATCATACCGTTTTTTCATTCGGTCACTAGCAATCTGAAGATGGGAAAGGACCAGCTCGTGTACCTCGTCCATTCTTCTTCGTAATTCGATCACATAATCTTCACCTGCTACATCTTCTCCAGGTCGACACCCAAACTCTAGATTAAAAGGTAGTCGCATCTCGCGTCCGAATAGGACTCTGGCTGGTGTCTGGCCTGTTGATTCGTTAACAGCAGATTTGTAGGCCATTGTGAAGAACAGAAGAAATTGGTCCCAGTCTCGCTGATGATCGGATCAAATCGTGTCAAATACTTGCCAACTGTCCTATTTATCCGTTCTATCATACCAACCGATTTCGGATGATATGCTGTAGTCCTTGTTTTCTTTGAATAGATCTTTGTCTGAATAGATCGCTTTCGAAGTCCCTATCTTGGTCACTATGGATCTCCAAAGGCACTTAAAATCGGCTGATATATTCTTGGATCAACTTATCTGCAATGGTGGCAGCCTTCTGGTCTGGAAGTGCGTAAATCTCGACCCACTTAGTAAAGTAATCCATTACTACCACCATGTACTTGCCTCCATTTTCACTTTCTGGAAATGACCCAGCAATGTCCAAAGCTATTCTTTCAAATGGGCTTCCAATACTATATTGTCTCATAGGAGCTCTCCTTTTTTGGTAAGACCCGTTACTGTAGTATTTTTATTAAAGTCTAATTTATTGTCTTTATTTATTAGGTATCAAAGGTTCTATTTATAACACTTAAAAATTTATTAAAGTCTATATACATATGATACTAATTTATTTGCACACTATAATTATATAATTTATTTACATTACAATATATACCTATTCCCGACAAAAACTCGACTCGAAATTCAAAACTAGAACTAACTGTTTTCAACAAAAAGGGTCGTACAATTTAGAACAGATCAGAATTAAAAAGGATATTTATGAGACATATATATTTATCGTAACAATATGCTTGACGGGGAGAAGCAAATACAATAAAATAGGTTTTAAAAATACAATAAAATAGGTTTATTTTTTCATTTTGCTTAAAAACTTAATTTGTACTTTGAAAAGATATAAACCGGGTTACAAAATAATATAATGATAATATCGCTCATTCTCACTACATCTCCAAATCATGTGACAATCAAGCACTTTTGTCCCTCTTTTTAAAACCTAGTTATTTAGTTTTATCGTCTCTTTATTTATCTTTCTCTGAGCACTTAAATATATTTTAAAACAGTAGCAGCACCGTTTGTCAGTCAGAGGTTGTTCAAAAAAAATTACAATCGCGAATCATTCATGACAGTCATATATTTTCCTGAGAAACAAAAACGAGAATCAAAGGCTGACCTACTAGCATGGATAATGATTGTCTATATATACATATACGGTTGCTCTTTGTTTGTAATGAATGTGGGCATATTTAATTTTAGTTAAATATACTGATAATTCACTCAGTTTATGAGTAGTACTTAGTGCCTAGAGGTTGGAAGATTTTATAAAAACAGTTAAAATTACAATAATTAATCTACTAGCCTATCCAATCATTCTCATTTCTAAATACGCTACGTTATAGGTACTATTTTATTTTTAAAATCATAAAGGAAGATCACGAGTTGAGAGTTTGGAAGTTATCGAAAATTTTTATAACATACACTTACAACATAAAATTGTAATTTAATCTGCCCTTGCTAATTTTTTTTTCTTTTTCTTTTTAGAATTTGCTCCCTCTGCCAGCTGGAGCGAGTGCCGCTTTGGTCAAACCTACCAAATATCACTACTACCCTCACAATCAACACATATATCTGCTTCCAGAATGTGCCATACAACAGGTAGGTCTGATAGAAAAGCAATTATAAATATTTTGTACAGGAAAGACTGATTTTATTTTAATTTACAGGTTTGTAATGCTGTTTATATAAGGCTCAATTGGACCCAGCCGCTCTGCGCTTGTCCGTCAAGATACAGAGATCCCTGCTCAGCTTCCCTTAATTCTGATGATCAACATACCACAGAGCTCATGACAGATAAAAATTCAAGGGTAAGTTTTTAATATATATTTAATGTATTTACCTTTACTGATTGTTCATTGTTCAAAAAATAAGTCTGTTGTTCAATTGAGGACGGTTTTTAGGTGAACATAATTTGACTAATTACGAGGAGAAACTAAATTAGCAACAAAGTATGTTGATATTTTAACATAACTGCCTCAAATAGCTATTCAAAAATGTTTACCAGCTCTTCTATTGTGATGTGTGATACATGGTGTGAGAAGCAATCTATTTGGATGGAAATATTTCAGAATCCAGTAGTCCATTCGAGTGTTTGATCTTTATAATATAATTCTTAGAAAACCTTTTGTTGGTCAACTGCCTGGAGCGGAGTTAGCAGGAATACATGTAATTTATATGCTCCGTTTTATTTTCGCTTAATCTGTATATACATAGCGTCTTCTTCTACATCGTACTGACAAGAATATTTCTTTAAGTTTATCAAATTTAACCAAATATATAGACATCAACTTTTTTAATTTCCAGAGGGCGTTAACCTTGGTGAAAACATGTGAACCAACTGCTGAAATGAGGTTGTGCAGATCACCAAGAGATTGGTCTTTATTAGCACTTCAGAACATCCGTAGCGGCAAATCTCACTATCTTGTAATATGTAGATGTCCAGAAACGAGCATCCTAGGTAAGTATAATTTGATTGGAACATTTTATTTATATCTATCTATCTTACACTATCATCATCATCTTTGGCTGTATAACCTTGGGTGGGTCTTGGCCTGTTCAAGAATTAGTCTCCATTCCCCCCTATTGTTCGTCCTGGCTTTCCAATTTCTGACCCCTAGAGTTCTCAAGTCGTCTTCGACTTAAGTTTTAAATCTAAATCTTGGCCTGCCTCTCTTGGCAACTTCTTCTGTTGGTATATCATATTTCTCCCTCTCATCGTCGAAGACTCCACTGTGGTTATTTATGTCAGTCACTTCTCGGTTGCTTATATTTAATTTCTCAGCAAAATTCTCCACCCATCTCTCCACTATTTGATCCGGCTCATTAATAATTTCGGCTTCCTTACTTTTTATTATGGTTATTCTAGGTTTAAATTCTTTTCTGTTGTGGTTCATATTTTTATAAAATTTTCGCGTTTTTATAAAATTTTCTTGATTTTGTCTTGTCCTTCTGTTTTGGAGTTTCCCATACGCCTGATTCTTTTTTTTGAGTTGCCTGTGCGCATTCCGCATCATACCATTATATCCCCTTTCTTTCTTGTTTCTTCTTTTCTAAAACTGTTGTTGCTACTTCTTTCAGGATATCTTCGCACTTATTCCAGTAATTATCTATGTTTTCAACAGTACTACTCATTTGGTCTTCTAGTTTTTGTTAAAGTTTGTGTTCAAATTTTCTAACTATCTCAGGGTTTCGTTGTCTATCCACCTCGAATTTATCTTCTTTGCTTCATTTACCTTTTTTGCGTAAGAGATTCGTGCCCTTATGGCCCTGTCGCTTATGGCTTCGAAGTCTATTACTAGGTGCTTCATTCTGTTGCTGACTATGAATCCTGTTCCAAGTTTATGCTCTGTTATGTGGCAGCTATAGAACATATTTCTTTTTCTCGAATATTTTTCCCAACCACCTAACTACTTAAAGCGCTATGATGTCTATGTTATATTTATCCGGGATGTCAAGGAGTTCCCGCAATGCTCCAGTTCTATATAAGGATCTCACATTCCACGTACTGAATTGTAACTCTTTGTCCTTTATCTCGCCAAGTGGTCGTCTAGATTTCAGTCCGGAAACTATCTCACACTATACTCACACATTTATTTTGTTTAGCTTCCTTTTTTTATAAACTAATATGTTTGCATCTTTCCTATATTTTGGTATTATATACGCTAATATAACTCACCACTAATCCGAATTTTTTACTAACGTTAAATATATTTTTAGAGGGTCCTATGTCTCACGATCAGCCCACCTATGCCAGCGTACCGGGAATCAGAGTATATGGGATGATGTGCGTGGACGGCAGAAGAGACAGGCAATCAAGGATATCCAAGAGTATGGATAAACCTCAGTTTCCCTGGGATAAGGCCGTGGAACTAGCCAGGAGTGCTATATGGGACTAATCTAGAATTTTTAGTAGATAGTACTATAGTACTTGAATAATTTGCATTTAAAAAAGTCACTATGATGATAAAAGTAGGAGAAAGGGTTTTTCTAGATATTAGTACCAAACGGACTAGGGATATGGGCAAAATATACCAAACGTATATTTTTGCAAAACCATTGGTGAAATTTGGATTATTTTTATATTTTTCGTAAAAATATTGATTAGTTTATACCACCTTTTTTGAAAAGCTACATTTGTATTCCAAAATATAATCAGATTAAAGATAGCAACAGAAATCTAACCTACCTTTACGAGTCCAGGTGATGTTTTTATTTGCAAATTTTCAATGTCGACATTATTCATAAAACTTATCTCGACTTATATCATTTTTCAATTTCTCGATCGTACTCAGTATATTTATTTTATTTATACGTAGTTTTAGCTTCATAGGCCGGAGTAGTAATAGTGCTATAATAAACAGTGATGAAACTGGTCATTGGTAGCGAATTACAATGGTAAATACGCAGCTTTCGTCACAAAAAGCATATTCTGTATCTAAAAATTACATTTAAGGATTCCCCAAACCGACGCGAAACTTTCGCAGCGGAATCGCGGCGAATCGTAAGGCACGGCGACTTAATGCATGTGTTCAGACAAGTTCGGACGGAAACCGGAACGGTCGCGGCAGAACAGCGTTGACGTTTCATGAAACGCTGCATGCACGGTTTTTTCCGCTGCAGTTATAGCAAGTTATAGTTTCGCGTGAATTATTAAAATGGCTGTTACAGAAAAACTAATTGAAATTGTGAAACAATATCCTATAATTTATGATTTAAGTAACGAAGATTATAAAAATATAAGAAAAAAGGATAAAGTCTGGGATAATATAGGGTCATTTCTAGGAGAAAATGGTAAGTTTTCATTATATATTATATATAATGAATTTAATAGTGCTCCGCCTGCGAATGTTCCGCAACGGTTTCGCGTCGCAAAAGTTTCGCGTCGGTGTGGGGAATCCTTTACTTACCTCCAATGCAATAGGCGTGTATCGCGTTAAAATTTTAGAATTATCGTTGTGAAAAATAATACAAAAGCACAAAAGCTGCAAGACAGCGAGCTCAAAATCGACATGATTCGCTCCAATGATATGTACAAAACAAACAGTAGAAAATATAGTACCTTTTTTATTTTACGCATTTTAACTTAATAATAATCAAAACCATAGTTGAACTAGAATATAACGTAATTTATTTCTTTTATACATTAACTTAATTGCCATGTAGTTTTTGATATACATAGGAGCATAAAGTTGAAATTGTAAGAATCAGGTATACATGAAAATATGTATACCATAATGTAGAACATGAAAGCATGAAACATAAAAACTGAAATATTTTAAAACCCATCCAAATAAAAAAAACTAAGATGGAGATTTGTGGGTGTAAAAATGTATCAGCCAACATACAATTAGGCATTTGGCAGATAATAAAATCAACTTCGGCACACTAATTGTACTGATAAGAAATTGAACGGCAATAGAAATACATGAATTACAGGCAACCATCGAGTTACAATCTATGGAGAAGCTATGAGCATATTAACGTATGTATTAAAAACGGCGTAGGTAGGCATGGCTAAGGATAATAATACCAATATGGCGGTAACATCAGGGCCAGACTCAATAATATTAAAACTACTATACAAATGTGACTAGGTATTCAGAAGGTTTAATCATAATATAAAAACGTGCAATACATTTTTAATAAACTATGATTTATTAATCCCGCGGTAAACACTAAAAACACGATATATTATATATAAAGATAAATTAATACAGTCAAATAGTATTAATTTATTATCTGAAATACGGACCATTACTTTGTTTACATATTTGTATACTAACCTGTGGAACGATATATAGATTTTTTATTAACATTGCTTCTGCTACTGCAACTACGTTGAGAACATGAAACCATTATTATGCACTATCACAATATATTACAGTTTCTATAAAAGTATTATAAAACTGAAAATATTCGAAAAAGAACAAATGTAAACAAACATATATACGATCTGTCAAAAGTTTCAAAACAATAATACCAATATGGCCGAAATGAGGTCGTTTTTAGTCACGTGATGCCCACTCCATAGATTCTAACTCGATGCAGGCAACCAACACAACAATGTAAACAAGAATGAAAGCTTTCAGTAAAAGAGTAGTTAAGGTTTCAAGATATAATCGGTGCCAGCTTACGAGAAAAACTATCAATGTAGTGGTACTGCAGAATCGAATAGATTCACAGAAAATGGAACAACAGGTGAAGAGAAACAACAGGTAAAGATCAGATATCACACAATAGGCTATACTAGTAGGAGAGCTAGTGAACCTTCCGAGTAACGGAGTATCTGTAAGTCTCGATATTCTTATAATAATGATCATAACAGGCATGTTCTCTTCTAACTTTTAATATTGAATTGCTTTTATACCGAGTACTTGTTATAAATTTTACAGTTTTATCATCAATATCATCATCATCATCTTTGGCTCTACAACCCTGGGCGGGTCTTGGCCTGTTCAAGAATTAGTCTCCATTCCCTCCTATCTTTCGCCCTGGCTTTCCAATTTCTGAACCCTAGATTCCTCAAGTCATCTTCGACTTGAGTTTAAAAATCTAGATTTTGGCCTGCCTCTCTTCCTGGTACCTACTGGCTCTTGTTATAATATCTTTCTTTGGGGTCTCCAGTGTCCATTCTTTCAAGGTGTCCTAGCCACCTTAGTCTATTAATTTTAATAGACCGGACGATGCTGCATTTTTCATAGCATTGATACAACTCACAATTGTAGCGTCTGCGCCATATCCCACTTTCTTGTACTCCTCCGCATATGTGCCTAAGTATTCTTCTTTCAAAGCGGCCTAACAGTTCTTCGTCGCTTTTTACCAAAGTCCATGTCTCTGGCGCGTATGTCAGGACAGGTTTAATAAGAGTTTCATATATTAGTATCTTGGTTTTTCTGCTAATTGTGTGTGATGTTAAGCTAACTGCTCTAGTCCAAAGTAAGCCTTGTTCGCCAGGTATATTCTTCTCTTAATTTCTACGCTTACTAGGTTGCTGTTATTAAGTTTTGTTCCAAGATATATAAACTCCGAGAACCCTTCGAATGTGTGTTGTTCGTGACCTTCATGTATTTTGTTTTGTATACGTTGACCTGCAGTCCCATTGTCTTCGCGGCTTCTTCTAATATTTCAAAAGCCTGTATCAGGTCTCTTTTGTCCGTGTTACTATGTCAATGTCATCTGCGTAGGCCAATATCTGTACATTTCTATTGATGATGGTACCTCTGGTTGTTATACCCGATTTCTCTATGGCTCTTTCTAGCGCGATGTTAAACAATAGGCATGATAGACTGTCTCCATGGCGTAATCCAGTATGTGTTTGAAAAGACCTTGACATTTTGTTTTGTACCTTGACTTTGCACTCAACTTTCGAAAGAGTTGCCTTTACCAACGTTATTAGATGCGACGGAATATCTAATTCTGCCATGGCATTATAAAGTTCGTTTCTGTCTACACTGTCATAAGCGCTTTTAAAATCTATGAGGAGGTGGTGGGTATCAATTCCGTATTCATATGCCTTTTCTAAGGTTTGTCTGAGAAGGAAAATCTGAAAACTACCTGAATTCAAATTACGCCTCTTACTATCACTCTCGTAACATCTTTCCCCTCACTTGTCAAGGACTTATGTTAGCCAGAACTGCCTGTCATTGTACATACTTACTTTAAATCACACATCATCGCCTTAAAGTGTTAACCTACTAAATCCATTTTACCCAATTTTACAGGAGAGACCAAAAAACGATTTCGCAGCATTTCTTTTTATAAAAATGAATGAAAAACAATAAAATAGTGCTTAAAATTAGTATAATAATTACTGTATCATTGAAATTATAAAAAATTATACTGATCATTTTAGATTTTAGTATTTTTTGGGAGATAGCTGGTTATCAGTTTTTAAAATTAGGCTAATAATGGACTTGGCAGTTTAATGCAATCAAACACGCGTATTCTATACGCAACGAAACTTTATTATTCTAAGTACAAAAAGGATAAAAACAAAAATAACGCTACTCATAGGAAATATCTTCATAAAATTTGTGGTAGTCTACCGACAATGTCTTCTTGATTGCCTGAAGATCTTCATATTTTTTGGCGGATATTTTACGTCTTTCTAGGTATAGTCGCTTCAATTGGTCTCAAGAATGTGAATTAATTTTGTTGTTCTTACGTTGAGAAAATGGTTTCCATTGATCAGCAAAGCTGGCTTTATAATAAATTTCACCTTCAGATGTATACTTCAAAGCACGAATATCTGTAACTGTTGAATCACCTTTACCTCTTCCTGGTCTAATTGTTTTATAGCGCTGAATTGAATCAAGATTTTTGAAAAAATCATGTGTTGTAAAATTTTCTGTTCTATGAAATACATCCAAATACTGGCAAATTCGTCAGAACCAAGACCCCCTTCACATTCGTTCTATATAAAACAATAGGCATCGGAATTCATGAAGTTATAGAAACAGAGATCGTGTAGCTTTGTTTTGTAGTATAATGTGAAGATTTTTGATTTTGCTGCCATCAACACGGCTTGCCAATCTGATGTGAAAACATTTTGTTTCTCATTTTTATCTTTTTCTTCTCTTGCTTCTACTTTCCTCTGTATGTGACTTTTAAATTCCTCTTCCGAAAGTTGTCCAACCCTATAGCTAACACACTTTCACATTCATCTTTTTTTGGGCGAAAAAGTGCAAAGTTCTTCTCATCGAAAGTTTTAGAAAACGATACTATCGAAAGGGGCTCTTCTTTACTCGATTTGCACCAATCGTTGACATACAATTCGTAAAAACTTTGCCGAGACTGCCATTCAGCCAAAACATATTAATAATGTGACTCCATAATTGGTAAAGAATCTAAACACCTGTCAGATATTTGTACCCATCGAAAACGCCTATCAGTTTTTTTAAACTTCACAATGACTGAACAAAATCATATAAAAATTTTAAGCTTACAGGAACAAGTTTTTTTAAATTTTTTTTACACATTTAACGGAGCGTTCACTAGCTCTTGGTCTATACCTAATGATTATACAAAAAGTCCGGATCCTAATTCAAGGAGTTATATAGATTTTCACGTGTCAACTATCACATTCACCCACGAATTAGTTACTTTGAAATGCATATTAAAAATTTTTATACATACTCTGATGTTTAAAAATATTTATTTATCGTTAGAATATACCTGTCATGTTGTTTTTCAACTATGTCTCTATTAGGAATAAATAAAACGCTATAGCAAAATCTAAGTTGTTTTTTATTTAGATAATAATCAGGGGTGATTGGTCACAGTATGGAAATTTGGAAAGGTAAGTTTTTAACACCAAAAATATTTTTTAATATCGACTGATTCTTTTTATAAAAATTTAAAAAGCATATTATTTATCACAATTACAAATATAGCAAAAGTACTGTGGATATATTGATAATTTAAATTATTGAGAGAGGGTGTCCAAAACCGATATTATTTAAATAAATATTAGGCCAGATATGCAACTAGTAGTCCTGTTGTTTATGCAAAAAGTTAAAAGTATTGGATCCAGATAAAACTATCCACAAATTAAAATAATATGTATTTATTTATGAGTTATTATTCAAAACATATAAATATAATGAACAGTACTATTTTTTTGTCGCATGTCTATACACTCTAAAAAATATAAACATACACGATTGTACACTATGGACCTGAAGAAATGGAACATCTAAAAAATTAAGTAGGTAGGTAATTATACGATTTTTAAATTACTTACTTTATTTAAATTGAATCAATTATTTGCTATACTCTATAGAATGCCTGGTGGCACTATGGTACTTTAAAGAATTACGTATTCAAAAATGGACTAGTCTTCTTAAAAGGTGAATCAAAATCCTATTAAACTTGCTGTCAACTTGAATCAGAAATATTCTCTAGAATTGAGGATAGATACAATATGGATTATCATCCTTTCTTGAACTGTTCAATTCTGTTATACAATATTTTCACTTTGATTATCATTAAAACCATCTAATGACATGTTAAATCAGGGATTGAACCTATATACAAGATATTTAGTAAGTAATAATATAAAATAATAATAATAAAAGTAATAATATAACTTTTTTAAATTTTTAGATGGTCCACTCACTCTGATATGCAATATTTTTTTGATTTGGATATATTTTTGGTAATTTAACATAAGCAACTTGTAAAATGTTTAACAAAATCTAATTAGTAGATTCAAAGTATTAGTAGAACAATAATAGTTCTATAAAAACGATATATGTAATATAATTTTAGGCACCCTCTACTTACACCCTAGTAACACAGCAACCAAAAGTTATTTTAAATAAAATGTCTGCAAAATAAATACAAAAGACTTACAAGCTCAAGAAATATAACCTAATCCTTTGCATAACTAGCTACATACTCCATAACTTTCATTTTAAATTCCTCTTTAGAATGCCTGTACATCTCAGCCGCTTCCACATTGAGAGGATCTTCAAAGTTCAGTAAGTCCTAAAAAACTGCATCATGAGATACAGACAAAGATAGAGCATACAGTAATAGTCTACAAGCCCATGAGAGATTTTTTAATGGATCATTTGACCCAACTTAAATCACATATAAAACAATACTACAATACGTAATAACGACATAAGAAAAGATAGGAGAGGGCGGGGTAATGCCGTCACCTTAAGAGATCACTATTTTTTGTGGTTATATTTTGAGATGAAAGAAATATGTGACTATGCTAGCGATCTAAGAACTAACATGTTTTAAGTCAATATCCTTATTGAAATTTTATTTGGAAACATAAAAAATTAACAGTATAATGAATGATAAATGAAAACATAACCTAAAAACAACCTACTAGTCTATTCACAGAAGTCACAAACATAATTATTGGCACTGTTTTTTCCACTGCATTGAGAATGAGCCCATTTCGAGCAAAGTGTACAGCGATACCAAAGTTCAGTGTTTCCAAATTCTCCACAAATTAAACATTTCTCCTCATCGGCAAACAAAGTGGGTAGGGCGATATCATCATTTGAATCATCATCACAAAGTTTGGCATCATCAAAATCTTCTGACGATGTTTCATCAAAATCGAATTTGGGTCTGATAGTTTTCTTCATTTTCTTTGTTTTTTTTTATTCTTATAAAGCTCGTCTTCAGATATAAACGTCCTTCTGTTTTGTTTCAATTTTTTTGATTTTTTTTCCAATATTTTTGTTATTTTCGCAATCTGTAAAATTTCGTTTTACTGCTTTCGCTTTTTTCTTCAACTCCCTTTTTTCTTTAGCATTTTGCAGGATATCTTTAATTGGTGTCGAAGTCAGGATAATAGAATGTTGCTTTCTATCCTGACCTTTTTGTTTAGGATCGGTCCTGTTAATTAGCATTGGTGAAATGTCGAGAATGCTTTTTGAAAAATCTACTTTTCCTGACGATGTCCCCGGTTAACTACGATTAATAATCTCGATAGCAGTAACAGTAGTAGGACTTTCAGGAGGATTTTCATTGATAGGTGCCTCATTAGTAGAGGTATCATTAAGTTTTTCAGAATTTTCCTCCTTGTCCTCAACAATTATTTGCTCTATGACTGAATGAGCAAGAGCAAAATCTTCTTCACTGAATTTATCTGGTTGAAACGGAAAAATTTCACATGCTTTGAATCCTGCCACTGCCTTTTCAAGGGTAGCAATCCTCAAGTAAGCTTTGCTGAATATCGGAGCAATATCGTATGGAGTGATTTTTTGATGAAAACTTGTTTTCATAAAATTATCACACTCCTTATTGAACGCATTCTTAAGAGGCCCGTAGAAAGATATATCTAAGGGCTGAAGTCTGTGCGAGGAATGAGGTGGAAGCAACAAAACGCGAATGTGGTTTGAACCGCAAAAGTCATAACATGGCAAAGAAATATGGGTTCCATGATTATCCATTAGCAGAAGGACAGGGTCCTCTTCACCTGACTTAGTGATTCTCTGGAAATGTTTCAGCCTGTCTAAAAATAAATCTTCATTGGACCACCCATTGTGTGAACATCTATAAATGGCTTCATTAAATCCTCCTCGCTGCAACAAAGGTGACATCCGTTTCCTTGGATAAATAAACATTGGGGGTTTCATTCACTACAATGATATTCTTGCCACGCTCCCAACTCGTAACTCCTCCCACTTGCTTCTGTCCTCTTGGTGCAAGAATTTTTCCCGGTTTTTGTACTGTAGAAATTCCAGTTTCGTCCATATTATAGATACGGTTCGGTGGAAAGTTACACTTGGTCATTACAGTGTCTAAATTTTTGTAAAACAAATCAACTTCGTTTTTATTAAATGCTTTGACTCTGTTCCAGCTAGTGGCTTCCGGTTTTCTTAAACTAATTTTATGCCTGCTGATAAACCCATTTAACCAATCTATCCTGACCAACTTGGTCTCTTTGCTAAAGTTGTGTTTAATTTGAGGTTTTTCAGCCAATTCGAAAGACAGTCGCCCTAGTTCATTTGTAGTGATGCCATATAATAGTTTCGAAAGGCTAACCACGCGCTCTACTAAGTTTTGTTCTTGCTCTACAGAAACAACGCATTTCGGACCCAATCTCGGCTTACTATCATCGTTTGCCTTTAGCCTATCCCTTAATGTTGTTCGGGACATGCTAAACATTGTAGCTGCTTTTTTGCGAGACACCATTTTGGCGAACTGCTTCAATAGCATTTTTGAGGTTTTCCTCTTTCCATACAGCCTTTTCTGTTGTTCTTTTACGTGATCGTACCATCTGAAAATCACAAAAAAAATTACCCCTCGAGAACAACATGGTGGATATATCACTACATACTACAAACAATAACCAAACATTCAAAGATTTAAAGAAAAGTATCAAAAGTATATTATTATAGGACATATTCAACAAACCAGTTAAGAACCTTATTATCACACTTACCTCGAGTTATAAATACTGCAGAAGTAAGTAGAAATATGAAACTATAACGGTTTTACTGATATTCGCACGAACTAACCTTGAAAGCGGCAATAGCTGTACTGATCAAAGCACGCTCAATCGGAAGCTATGTTTCACCGTTAATCAGGTGCGTGCAGGACTAATATTTTGTGAAAAATACTCGGTGACGAAATTGCCCCGTATGACTGCATTACCCCATCCTCCCCTACCGTCAAATCTTATCGGTACATGTGAGTCACAGGTAATATAAACTTACCGTTCAAGGGGGTAAGTTTCTTTTGGCCAAACATTTTTGTACAGCATTTTTAACTTTATCAATAATGCCGTACAAAAATATTGGTACCAGGAGCAGGTAAAATGTTTTCACAATTTTCGGCAATTTGACATCTACGGCGCTACCCTTAATTTGAACCCCCCATGCTTTGAGTACCGATAAGAATTGGCGGCATATGTTCTAAAGTTGTTATTACATATTGTAGTATTGATTTATATGTGATTCATGCTGGGTCAAATGACCTATTAAAAATGTACCATGGGTTTGTTCTATAAATGCAACACAATAAAATGCTATGCTCGAATAAAAGTGTCAAAAGGAAGACAAGTAGCCAGAAATCATACAAAATTGGTTTACAGTTATTGCATAGAATGTCCTGGACAACAATTTTTGTGTCTGAATGTTTTATTTTGGTTCATAAATAGTATGCATTAGTTTTTATAAATAATTTTTTCTGTGGTTTTTACGTACCTCCAGATAGATTTGCATTTGAATGTCAAGTTTCTTTTTAATTTTGTATTTCTTTGCGTATAAGAAGAAATAAATAGGTGTTGCATATTAAAATTATTATACCTTAAATCTGCAAGAAGATAGTGATCTTAGAGACAAAGAACAATATAATTTCTATTATTATTAACAAGATTAGCATTTTCTTCTTTGGAGAAATTAGGTATATTATGTTTCATTTTAAAACCTTTAAAAAAATTTCAAATATCCAAATTTGCCCAAACCAAATATATCTTTATATTCGCCACAGGCTACTATTTAAAATCTCATAAGGAAATATATGTATCGTTAATCAAATATGACTGACGAGGCCTGTTACACAAAAGTGTGCGTCAAGCATATATGCCTGACGTAGCCTGAATGGAAACATCACTGTGGGGCAGATATGCCTGATGTGGCATGCAATGTGTTAAAAAATACTTTAACCACAATTTTGAAGAGTTCACACTGCAGAATAGTATGGCTTTAAAATAATAAAATTTGGGTAAAAATGTGTTATATTTATTTTTGATGTGGTTAAATATGTAACGTGAGATGATAATAATTTTGCTATCACATGTATCACGAAAGTAGTATTTTTATAAATAGAAAAGAGTATATAGACAAAATTACTAAGATAAAAAACTTACTGTGAATAAGGCATTTAATCCCCAAACAACATCATTTAATCGTCTAATAGGTGACCATCCCATACCATCCATACTGTGCCTTCTAAGTAATGATAAACATACCTCACCAGATTCGGTAATATTTGGATGCCACAATTTTGTTAGACATTTAACTACAGGGGGCTAAAATAATTTTAAATGAAAAAACAAATAACTAGGGTAATATATAAGAAAAATTTCAAATAGCAAAACATCTATAGTACAAGACTCTGGAAAATTTTAGTGATGGTTGTATTATACATAATATAAAACTACTTACGACCATGTTATATTCATCTGTAACACATATATCAAACCGAAAAGTCCCACCTTCCCAGAAGCCCTCCGCTGGCTTTACTACTAACATAAATCTACTTAAATCATGTTCATTGGTATAGTGAATAGAACAACACGAAGGTAACAACTGAGCCATTTCTTGAGCTTCCTTAACTAGTAATCTGTCTCTTATTGAAGCTCTTGATGTTGTTGCTTCATTATTATCTGCTTTCCTTTTAAGTCTTTGCGACAACGTTATCATTATGAATTTACAATAATCAAAATCACACTAATTAGCATAAAAGTGTAAATTTTATGAAATCTTTATCATTTTTTGTTTACTACCAAAAAACATCCTTCAAAGTTGGGTTATGTTCAGCCTCCTATCAACTCCTATCATCATAAAAGAAACGATTAATGATACGATTGACGTAATCGATTTTTTTCACTTGATAACTGGAAAGACATATTAAGTAATTAATAAATAAGTAAATGGAGCAATAAATAAAAATGATCTAATTAGAAACTTCAAATAATGTTTCAAAAAATTGAAAAATGTAAATCATATAGTAAATCATTTCACCTGTCATGGAAATATTGTTCACTACTGAAATTATCGATTGTTCAGTTCATATTCGATATTATGACAACTAACAGTAAGACAACTATAGGATAGATTCGCGGTTCGCGCCTTATGCAAAGTAAAGTAATCAGATCGAACTTTTATCAGCCAAATAATAAGTGTTTATTGGTTGGTTCTATAGAATGCCGGTGATATTTTCTATTTACAATAAATTTAATTATATATTATTCTAAATTTGATTGTGAAAAAACATGGGTATTACAGGACTATTACCCTATCTTGAAGTCGCTGGAAGAGATTGTCATATTAGTGAGTTTAAGGGTTCTGTTGTTGGAATAGATGTTTCTTGCTGGCTACATAAGGCAGCCAGTACTTTTGCCAAGTCTATTATTATTCATAAAGATTACCAGCAGTAAGTATTGCATATGCATAATATGTTTTGTTTGTTAAAATAGCTACACTTTGTTAATAAGTTACTCAGACTCTAATTATGATCCAGCTAATATTCAATTACGCTATTAAGGTCCGTATGTGGTTGGGTCTACGAGAGTAAATGACCCCTTTAAAACCCACAATTAAATGCTTATAGTTTCACCACCACCCAATTAGTTTTCTGCCAACTGTGCCCCAGCTATTTGAGAAACGTTTAAGAGAATTGTTGTTGAGAACAAATTTAACTTTTAAACATTGTACAATTAAAGAGATTTATAACACAGTTGGCCCACCTTTACTAACATGAAATCAGATCCTATATGATTCCAACAAATTTTCTATTACCCTAAGTTACAAAACTGTGTTTTAACATTAACAACCCATGGTCTATGATGTTACAATTTAGTTTTTGTTGAACTATTTTCTGCTAGATAATTATGTGGTAAAAAAAGTATTTTAACTTTTTTCTGTATAAATGGTTGTTTAATTTTTAAAATAATGATAAATATTTGTTTCAGTGTGGTAAGATATATTAAAAACTATGTAGAAATGCTATCAAAAAACGGCATAAAACCTGTATTAGTATTTGATGGCAAAGCTTTACCAGCAAAGGCAGGAGTTAATACTAAAAGAAGTGAGAAAAGAAAGGAATATAAACAAAGATCTGATGAATTGCTAGCACTAGGAGACACTGCCCTTTCAGAAAAATACCTACAAAGAAGTATCAGCATCAAACCAGAATTAATAGCAGAGGTAATAAAGGCATGTCACGAAATTAATGTTGACTGCATTGTTGCCCCCTATGAAGCAGATGCTCAATTAGCATACTTATGTAATATTGGTAGGTAAACCCTTTGGGGATTTTCATTGTCTAACATTTGTATTCTTCCATCTGGTTGCTCCAACAATAGAATGTTTGAATATCAAATGTATTTTAAGAACAATTTATCATGAAGTTTACTCCAACATAAAAATTATATATTTATTTGAGTAAATCTCTGTAAATCTATTGTGATATAAATCATTTTAGTTATGGTTTATGAAAACAGTGTATACAAATCATTAAAGATATGTGTCTGAACGGAATAAAAATCTGCTACAGTATTTTTTAGATTTATTAAACTAGTTGATTTTTAGGAGCTGTTAATATAGCTATAACAGAAGACTCAGATCTCATGCTCTTTGGTTGCAAACGTGTGATATACAAACTAGATGCAAAAGGAAATGGTGTACTTATAGAGGCACATAAAATACATTACTGTATGGGTCTACAACTTGAACAATATACATTTAATAAATTCCTTTATATGTGTATTTTGTCTGGATGTGATTATCTACCATCTTTACCAGGAATAGGCCTGAAGAAGGCAGAGAAATTTATAAAATTGACCGAAGAAACAGACCCATTAAAGGTAAAAAAAAGTTCAAATAATATAGTACTTATAGTGATGTTTTCTTTTTCATTAATGTAGACGACCTTATCTTAACAAACACAATTTTTTTATCATTCTTCTTTAAAATTATTTACATTTCTGCTAATGATCACCATCTGCCTACTCTACAGAGCTGACGCAATTTTATAATAATTGTACTATTTCTTTCAATGTCTCCCTAATTGCAATATTGAATAGTGTTGAAGAGAATTATCTTGTTTTAGAGCATCTTTACACTCTCCATGTATAGAACATCCTATTTAAAAAAAAAAACATCTTATTTTGAAAGAAAAACATTTTTTTTTTCCTCTTATTCAAGTAATATACTTTATATATGACTCATATCGTTCAAAAATTTAAAAAAGTATTACTGAAAAAAGGAGAACAGGAATACTCAAAAATACTATAATACTTGATAAAAAAATTATAAGCTGAAAACTTTGTCCACCAAATTTATTTTAACTTATCACTACAGCTGTTTCGGCTGATTGTCTTTCTCAAGTGATCTATTTTTGGCATGCATTTACATTTTATAGTCTCTAATGGAATAGGTTGAGGAGGGGAGAACTGTTTGTCTCAAGTTGGTCATTCAGAATTATATCTGTGTTTTTTAATTTGTTGATTTCCATAGATTCTAACAAGGATAGCTTAGGGCCTTTGTTTTGAATGTGAAGAATTTTAAATTCGTCATTAAAATAATGATTGTGATCTAGAAGGTGAAGTGCGTATGTAGAATCTGTTTTTCTATTATTGAAAGCCCTTTTATGTTCTGCTATTTGTTTATTGAAGTTTCTACCAGTTTGACCAATGTAAGTTTTTGGGCAATTTGTTTTTTTTATCAAAATTTTTATCAAATATCAAATTTTAAACTACCCTGGATTTTAAAAGTGTATTTTCCCAAATGTTTATTATTAGTTGAGAGACTTCATAACATTTTTTAGCTGAGTTTTAATAGTTATTGTTTCTTTGCTGATGTACTAACCTGCTGAATACTAAGTATCTAATTTTATATTGTACTTTAGTTTTTAGGAAAACTGGCAAGATATTTAAGACTTACACAATTGGTTGTGACAGATGATTACAAAGAAAATTTTATGACTGCTGTGGCTACCTTCAAACATCAAATTGTGTTTGATCCTTATTTAAAAAAGTTAGTTCATCTTACAGATCCTGTAGATGTCCCAGACAAATACCTCAAAAATGCTGGGTCATTTTTTGATAATAAAGAAGCTTTGGAATTAGCCGTAGGCAATATAAGCACAGCTGATGGAACTCGTTTAGCTAACTGGAATACCACAAAATGTGTAAGGGTAGACATGTTTTGATTTATTATTTGCTTCATGCCAAGTATACCAGGGAGAGAGGAGATTCTAAAGTTTTAGACATTACACCTCAACCAGTTTCAATATATTTAACTAAGTAATATAATCCTTTTATAATAACTTTTATTTATTCCTTCTCTCTTTGTTATATACTTATGGTATTTGTTTTGAGTTTTGGAATATACTGGATAGTTGAAAATAAGTTTAACTTTTTAGGAAATGGGTAGTATATGGCATAAAATTGATTCAAGGAATCTACAAAATCCGAAAAGTGCTACTATAACAAGTAACATTGCTGCAACAGGCCAATCTACTTATACACGCAGTATTGATAAAAAGCTGAAAGAGAAATTTAGTTGTTCAAAGCTCAATGTAAGGGAAACCCTCAATATATCTATACAACAATCTAAGGTTGAAGATGAACTTAAGGAAGAAGCTGATAGCAGAATTAAAACCGAAATAAATCGTTTAACCTTAAAAAGAAAAATGAGTGATGCAGATAGTTCGGATGGTAGTAGTAACGAAGATACTCCCGCTTCCCCTGTTCTGGTAAAGAATCCATTCATGAAAAAAATAAGCAAATTTGCAATAACTGAAAGTGTTGAGACTGAAAATGTTAATGTGAGTGTTCAAAGTCGATACTTTTCATTTGCATCGTCTTCAAGTAACACAGAATATCGTGAAACTAAACAAGAATCGGAAAGCTCTGATGAACTTAAAAACTTAACTCAAGGCTCTGATAACTCAATTCCAGAAATTATTCAAGCAGCAGAGAACACTGACAATATAGAAAATCAACCTAACAATTTTTTGAATGCTTCACTTGCCGAAATTAATCTTGACGATATGCAAAGTTCAAGTATATCTGTAACTGTAACAGATTGTGCTCCTTCAACTTCTAAGGTAAGAAATTTCCACTTCCTTTTAATAATTGCTCCTGCGGTTTGTCCATCTATTGTCTGTCATTCGAGCCACTTCTTTACGTGCCATATCCGCGACGAAGGTTAGCAATTGTCACTGATATTCTAACTTTTGACACTACAACTCGAAAGAGTTCAGTTGAGCTGCATCCAAATCATTCTCTGAGGTTTCTCAGCCAGGACATTCTTCTACCTAAGCTGCACTTTCCTTGAATCCTTCTCTGCATTATTAGTTTTAGGAATTCATATCTGTCACCGTGTGTGATATGACCCAGACATTGTAGTTTTCTTATTTTTATGAAATTCTTCTTACTTCTTTTAAAATACTTAACACTTTAGTACTCGTTTTCTAAGTAGGCTGAGGTCTCTACAACATATTTGTTTCATATTATTGAATGCACTTCTAGCCTTTTCTATTCTGACTTTAATTTCTTTGGTATAATCGTTTGTTTCATTAATGCTTGTCCCTAAATAGTTAGTAAAGAGCCACTTGACCTGCCTAGTTCCACTTCAGTGTTTACACACGGATGTTTTGCACTGCTTTCCTTGTTGTGGTCAACATTTCCACTCCGTAAGTCAACACTGGTTCAACTTGCCGAATGCTGCCTAAGTCAGTCTTACATGACAGAGGAGCTCAACGGTTTGGTTATTTTTTCCTATGCGAATCTTGTGACCTATGTATTTATAGGCCATTACGTGGTCTATGGATCTTGTTACTATGCATATACCTTCAGTAACTACAAGATTTGTCATCATCTGGCTTTTAGATGCATTTATTTTCAATCCCCCTTGTAGCGAGGAAAGGTAGAGCTGATTTAAAAATTCTTTGGTCTCATCTATCCTATCAGCTATTAGCTCAATATCATCAGCAAACCTCAGGTGGCTAAGCTTTTCTCCATTGATGATAATGCCTTTCTTGGTCAGATTTGCCCTTTACATATTCTCTGACATACTCCACGTTGTATCGGGAATTTCTGAGTTTGACGGACACACATTCTAACACTACCTGTTGTATCTTGATATACGAGTAGTGTTTAATTATGTCAAAGATCCACAAATATTAAAGAAGTTTGTTATATTCAGTACATTTTTCTATAAGATTTTTTAGTACCAATATTTAAATGTTTTTTCCGCAGCCTTTTCCAAAGCCCACCTGTTCTATGGGGTGATAAGATTTCAATTTATTTTCTAATCGTTTCGTAATTATTTTTATAAATAGTGTATAAATATGGGAAAGCATATTAGGGACCTGTAATTTCTGAGGTTGGTAGCCTTTTTTTATTAAATAGGTTCATTTCTGCCACTAAGTTAGTGTTATTGCTTCCTGTGGACATTTAGTGAATGGTTTGGCAAGGACCTACCACAATCTTTTTTCATCCACTTTCAAGGCATCTGCCACTGTTTCATCGCCTTCTTCTTCTTCATATACCATGTCCTTTCAGAATGTTGGAGCTATCTTAATTTTATTCACTGCCACCCTGCTTAAATTATTTACAGCCAGGAGTGACAAAAGGCCTTTAATGCAGTAGTTCTCTTTTGCTTTCTGCATCCTTATGCCGTTGACTAATTTATGCCTTCGGGGGACATATTTTTGTTAATTCCTTATGTATTCAAATCGTGTATCACTTTATTGCCATTAATGTCAATTAATTTTACTGTGTAGCCTCAACAAAGGAAGCGAAAATTGGAAACTACAGACAGAGGTACAAAGAAAAAACAACTTCCTGGACAGACATCTATAAAAACATTTTTCAAATCATATTCAAGTAGTAGTTCTTAAGTAAATTTATAATGAGATTTGTTTTATATGTTGATACTCACGATATTATTAGTTATCGATGTTATTTTAAGCGACTTCTTTTATGCATAAAATTGAAGGATCAATCAATAATTTATTGTAAAAAAATAGTTTTTAATGTAATTTTCAACAAAACATACTATTGAGTAACTAAAAGAAATCGCTGAAAAAGATAACGGTGTTATGTTTATGTTAAAACATGAATTAATGTGATAAAAATTGTAATTCTTAGTTACAATACCTCATATGACTTTTGCGTTCATCGGAGGTTTCTAATTATATCTAATACTTATAAAAGTATGAATGGCACGACCTACTTGCTTTATTGCATCTCAAGGATGCTCAACGAGGCTAGTATCTGGATTTTCCGTTGTGAATTAAAGTTGCAATATATCACCCTTAAGAGTTATTCCGTGTCAAATACTTTAATTCGGTCAAATGTGACGTTCCTAGCTCTTTAGATCTCACAGTATTGGGCAGGTGATACATAGTTTCTTGGAAGTTTAGATTTGTCTAATCAGGCATGCAACGCCTAACTGAATGTTTTTTATTGCATCCTAAGAATCCTCTAGGGTCTATGCTAATCAGTCGATATTTTACTTATTATAAGTTAGTATTTTTTTATTTTAGTGACTACACTTGTTTGCAAAAAAATGCATCAACAGAATATTATAAATAAGTCATTTGAATGTATGAAACTTACTGAAAAACAACAATAAGCAACACATTTTTTTCTGAACGGTTTTTTGAGGAATATTTTCTCATTTAACAGTCAACTTTTCGAAAATTCATAAAAGCAGGCATTGAACTCAGAACTGATTGTTTTATTACATCCCATGGATGCTTTAAGAGATTCATGTCTGATTAAACAGTTTTGTTGGTGCATTTTTTGTGATAGATTTATTAAATCGTTTGAGTGTTCAATTATTCTAGTGAGTTTTTTTAATAAAATTTTTTATAAATTTGTTGTAAAGATTAAAAACATATTGAAATTGGTTGTTTTTTTAATTCCCTAAACATCCCACTTTATTGAATAAAATGAAAAATATATTATGTGTAAGTTAGTGATGGGACTATCGATTACTTTATACTAGCTACTAGTCGACTACTTTTAAATATCGATTAGTCTAGTCGACTAGTCGGGGGTAGGCGTGGTCAGCTGTCACTGTCAGTCTCAGTTTGTGTTTTGCTTAATGGGGACAACGCAACGATGTAAAAATACTCAGGATAGAACCTATGAATAAAATGCTTCAGTCCAAAGTAGTCGCTAACACTAGCCTACTTGAACCGACCATAGCCGACTCTTGGTTACCGGAATGCTTTCTCTTGGTTTATGAATGAATTTATTGATTTATCTTCTATTCTAGAACTAGTCGTTTGTCGTTTGTCGTTTAACCGTGTACAATCGACTAGTCAAAACAGTCGATAGTCTGAAACTGTAGTGCAGTGTTTATGCTTATTTAGCATTGGCTATTAAATAATTTGTGTTCGTTTATTTCGTCTGTTGTACAACCCTCGTCCTTTTTAGGGTGGTGTATAATCTGTCTACTTAACAGACGGAGTTATCACGTGAATACCATGTGAACTCATGAAATATTATAATCATTCCTACAAACAGTCAAACTAGTCAGAATTCGTGGAAAACAGTTGGTCAGTGAGAGAACAATAATACTGTCATTAGTGCTATCCTCCCTACTGCGCTGCTCGACTATTCGTTCATAGTTTCGGACGGTTTGGCCGCTTGTTGGGAAGAACCACCATGTTCGCATTGAACCAGTGACGTCCCAGAAAAATAAAATAGATATTATAAAAAAAAGTTGTTGCATAGGGTCATATGTTCAACAATGAACCACACGTACACAATGAACCAATCAATCTTTCGTTAATAATACGCATTTTAGAAAAACGCCGGCACCACTGTACGAATGTACTAGATAACCTAGAACTAAATCTCAGTTATTGTTTTGCCACCACGAAATGTGCACGTGTTATAACGGATTATAAAAATTTGAAGGCATCGAGTAAAATTTTCAAGGTAAGCATTTTCGGTTTTATTTCTTACATGGGTGAATTATTTTAATTTATTCTCTGTGGTACGATACATTGATACATTAGTTAGTGTTTTGGTATATAACTCTAAAATACACTGTTGTAGATAATGACTTATTGGTCTTTGATTGTTATAAGGTGCGGTACGTACACAATGAACCAAACTATGTTGGGACACAATGAATCATGGTTCACTGTGTACCCTTCCAAGTTTTTAGATTTATTTTTATTTTCAGGATGGGTCGCGTTAAGAAAATAGAAAGAAAGAAAGGCGCACATACTGTTGATCAAATGAGGACAGCATTGGACTTAGTAACCAGGGGTATGAGTATTCGAAAAGCAGCAGTAGAAAGTAATTTAGCATATCCTACATTAAGGCGATACGTTGAAAAAAGAAAGTGTGCTCCAAACGAAAACATAAGATTTGTTCCTAACTACGAGACGAACATGATTTTCACAAGTGAACAAGAAGATGCTCTTAAGACCTACTTGAAAACTTGTGCACTTATGTTTTATGGATTGACATCTGTCGAATGTAGAAAGGTTGCATATCAAATGGCTCAAAGGAATAATATCAAAATTCCTGATTCATGGAGGAATGCAGAAATGGCTGGCAGGGAATGGCTCCGAAGTTTTAGGAACAGGCATACAGATCTGTCTCTGAGAAAACCAGAGCCGTGCAGCCTGGCACGTGCGACAGCATTTAACAGAGATAATGTTAATCGCTTTTTTGACAACTTATATGCTGTAATAAATCGAAATGCCGCATTTTCTGACGGTACAAGAATTTACAACTTGGATGAAACTGCAACCACAACGGTGCAAAAAACTCAGAAAATATTGGCACCAAAAGGGAAAAAGTGTTTGGGTAAAGTCACCAGCGGTGAGAAAGGGACACTAGTAACAACGTGCTGTTTTATATGTGCCGGTGGTTATGCTTTACCACCAGCAATAATTTTTCCGCGGAAAAATTATAAGGATTTCATGTTAAAAGGCGCCCCCACTGGCTCTTTAGGCCTTGCTACGCCGACAGGATGGATGAATTCGGAGTTGTTTGTAGAGGTAATGAAACATTTCATTAAACATAGCAGAAGCTCTCATGATAATCCATCAATTTTAATATTCGATAATCATGAATCTCACTTATCAATCGAAGCCTTAGATTTGGCAAAAGCTGCAGGGGTTAATATTGTAACTTTGCATCCCCACACATCGGCTAAATTACAGCCACTTGACGTTGGTTTATATGCGCCGTTCAAGACGTATTATAACAGTGCCATAGAGTCGTGGCTTCTAAGAAATCCTGGTAGGCCGATATCTATTTATGATTTAGCTGAATGTATTGGAATAGCACACAGTCGTTCCATGACTCCTACAAATATAGCCAATGCCTTTAAAAAATGCGGTATATATCCCTTTGATCGGGATATCTTTACAGATGAGGATTTTTTGCCAAGTGAGGTAACAAACAGACCATGCCCAAATGATGAAAGTTCTAATAATACAAGAGACCTTCAAGGAGGTGAACATAACGATGAAATCACTGTGCCAAATGAAAATGACAGTTCTTCAACTAATAACATTCAATCAGAAAACCCCAAACATACGGAAAGTCAAGCAGGACCATCATTTATTCCACCACAACAATTTATGCCTGCATTGAAAGCCCAACCTCGTCAAAATAATAGGAAGAACAGAAAAAGTAAAAAAAGTATTATTGCCACAGATACACCGGAAAAAAACATTATTGAACAAGAAAGGTTGGAAGCTAAAAGAAAGAAGCAAATGAATGAAAATAGGCAAGCTAAGAAGAGAGTGCGTTTTGTTAATGACGATAATACAGATTCAGAGGAGGATGAAATAGATATCCTTGAGAGTGACAGTGACAGTGATAGTGGAGAGTATGAACAAGATCTTCCAGTTTTAAATCCAAATTTGTTTAGTACCCAAGGTTTTAACCCTAACGTAGAAGATTATGTCCTGGTAGAATTTCATCCACCAAGGTCAATAGTATATTTTGTGGGGAAGATATTACAGATAGAACAAGATGGGGAATATCGCATATCATTTTTAAGACTTAAGGATAAATATAGTGAGCAGTTTGTTATGCCCAATGTTCCTGATATAGCTTCCGTCAACAAGAAAGATGTGAAATATATTTTGCCGAGACCAAAACTATGTGGCAGCACAAAACGACAACAATCTTATTTTGCGTTTACAGTGTCTTTTTCTTTATTAAATATCAGATAGAAATTATACCTATTCAATTTTATTACCTATTCCGTTTTCTTTATATACCTATTCAGTTTTCTTCATTTTATTGTCCTTTTCACCTATTATTTTGCTTTTATATAATAAAACTTTGAAATCTTACTGTTGTTTCTGTAGACCTAATTTTTATTAGGTATGTTTAAAATAAAGCAGTTTGGTTCACTGCGTACGCAGCACTAGTTCATTGTGTACCACCCGTGGGACACAATGAACCAACGGCACTTAAAGGAAAAAAACAATAATAACTCAAAAACATTAATTTTTATTGCTAACCAAATTATGTGTAATATATTACTAATATGTGTTACTTATACTGGTACAATTTCGTGCTTCTAGGTTAAAAGGGAACTGATATAGACAATTTTAAATTTTGAGTGGTTCATTGTTGAACACAGGATCCTATATATACAGACAAAAATTGAAATAAACGATTATTTTATAAAAACATGTTATGTACATCGCAATAAAAAAACGTAAATTTCAATAGGATGAATTGGGAGCGTTATAAAAGCTTGGGATACCGCTAAAATGTAAATAACGCAAGCTTGACTGTACGGGAAATATATATAGTGTTAATTTTTAAACAATTTCTAACATTTGGCGTAGAAGTGGACAATACAATTTTAAAATATAACCTCAATCTGACACTATAACTTAGAAAAATTTAATGCAATACAAAAATGATAGAAGTTCTTTAAAAAGTAAACAATAAAACCTGGAAGTGTCTTTAACAAATGAGGAGAAATGGGAATCAAAATACTATAGGCTAACTTTAAGCAATGTGGACATTATACACATGTAAATTTAAATGTGTAAGTGATGGTAGTTTACCCCATTTGTACAACATATACGCACATCGACCATGTTGAGTTCTGATGCTTTTAAGTGTGCACCAGGTCTAACGTGGGTGTGCACAAATCCAGGAGGTGTCTCTGTGATGCAAGGTATAACTGTATTTAGTGGAGGTTCCGACCATTCATGGATCCATTTGGTGGTCATGTTGAATTCGGTAGCTGCAGCTAATTCCGCGGTTTGTATTGCAGATTTTCTGGAGCGCAGTCGACCTTGGTTTGCATCTTTTGTAGTTATGAATCGGCAGCGCCGTGTTGCTAAGGATCTTGTTATATTCTTCGGTCAGCAGATTGAGTCGGCGAAGGTGTGATAGTGTAATGTCGCTCAGCATTGGTAGTAAATGGATTGGTGTAGGTTTGATTACTCCAAATCTTTTGAACGTGAGTACTGTTGATCCATATTTGTATACAATCTTCAGCTATAGAATAAACAAGAGCCTGAAGACCTGAGTCTGGATACCGATGCCTTCATTTTGTGGCGCAGAGCTTCTGAATTAGGTTATTTTTGGTTTTTAGCTTCTTAGCAACTATACTTAAATGTTCTCTATAGCTTACCGTTCTGTCCAAAGCCACGCTAGGTATTTGGACGTTTATTGTGGTTGAGTCATGTGTTATCAAAAGAACGTTAAGTAGTGTTCTTGACTCCAGATTGTTATTTATGTGAAAGTAGGTTACTTCAGTTTTAGAGGCATTGGGGCGAAGTCTCCATTTTTGAAAGTAACGTCCCATAATCGCTAGATATTCCGTCAGAATCTCTTCAGCTTCTTTTGTGATTTTGTTGGTGTTAATAAAGTCCAGTCATCAGCATAGCCAAACTTTGTTGATGTTGTCGGTATGTCTCCGATATAAAGGCTATAAAGCAATATTGCGAGTACCGAGCCTTGTGGTAGACTATTTTTAGTCTACTAAGTCTTAGGTTAAAGGATTCAACTGATAATCTCAATGAATCTAGGAGCAAAGCTGAAAAAATAATATTTAATCTAGAGCGTAAACTTCAGGATAATCCCACCATGAAGAATATGTGTATTTCAGTTATGGATGAATAAATTTCAATTGGTCATGTCAAAATTGAGGAGAATACAGATCCAGCTCATTTCTATCTCCCACACCATGTTTAACACGTTGCCTGCCGTAGAGGGTTTTGTTATACTCCACTTTTTCAAGCCCTCATTTGTATTATCTTTTATAATCAGTTTGTTTATCAGACTGTTTATTTTTTAAGCGGGTTTATCTCAACAGTGACTAAATTGTTCACTCAAAAATGGTATATAACGTAGGCAGGATGCGATAGGAAAGAGAAAAATATCAGGAAAAATGAAAACAAGTATTTAATAACATTAAATTTTCGATATTATTGCTTAAATGAAACAATATTTTAAATTAAGAAAAATTATAATAATTATTTGTTATTTACATAATTATGACAGATTTGGAGATGTGGAGAAACATCATTCTCTTAAATACATTTTAAGATAATGTATATGATGTATAATAATACAGAAACATATACGAAAAAGGTAAAAGTATCGGCACAGCTCGCAACAAAGGAAACACGTATATGTAATTAAATATGTGTAAAAGATGGAAGACAACCGTATATACGTATTTCTGACTATTGGTCATCTTCGGTACGGTGCAGCCAAGTTAGAAAAGGACCATGTTTACATTGGAAAGGATCACTACAGGAGCAATGCGACCAATTTGTGGCAATAATGTTAGAAGACTCCGAGGTTTCCAGAGCAACAACTAACACATTCACGAAGGAAGCTAAGCTACCTGAGGAAAGGAATGTCAAACGTTTATAACGTAAACCTCTGAGTTTGCCGGTGGTCGTCTCAATCGCTTGTCAAATGTTTAAAGTGCATCAAGTAAATATTTTAAAATTGATACTTCACCAATGAAGGCTGTCCGGGTAATTGCATTATTACGAGAGGGCTATAGTCAAAAGACTGTCACCGGTCACTTACTTATGACCCAGTCTGCAGTCTCAAGGGCTTACTGTCGATACCAGCAGACCGGTAGCTACATTAGACGACCAGGTTTGGGTCGGCGACGTCTAACGACAGAGAAGGACGATCAATTCATCGTCCATTGTTGCAAAATCTGCTCGCAACAAGAGTTGAGTCTCATTAATCCTTGAGGTATATACGAGGTGTCACCGTTACTCAGTGGATAGTTGGGAGAAGACTTAAAGCTGCCACTTTGACTTCCAGACGACCTAATACAGGGCCCAAATTGCACGCAAGTCAGAAAAAAAACGCGTCAATTGGGACCTTTTCCAATGGAGCAGAGTTTTATTCTCTGATGAGGGTCAAATGTGCTTGTATAACAATTACATAAGACGACGCGTCTATCGGAGGCCCAAAAAACGATTTGCTCAGTGCTGCAGTGTCGAAACAGTGAGCTACGAAGGTGGTTCGTGTATGTTTTAGGGTGGTACATTTTTAGAAGGAAAACAGAGCTAGTGTTCGTGCCTGGTGGTGATCACGGAGGGGGATTGACAGTGGATCGTTACATTACGGATATTCTCCAAGACCATGTTGTTCCTTACGCCTGCTACATAGGCGACGGCCTCATGCTAATGCATGATAACGTTCGATATCACATAGTGCGGATTACGAAAGATTACCTGGCCAACACCAATCTAACAACAATGGACTGGATATCAATCCCATCAAGCACCTATGGGTTGAACTTAAACGCAGGGTTTGGTCCGTAATCTAGCACCTGCGACAGTGGAGGAGCTAAATACTGCATTAGATGAATAGTTGAAAGCGATTCCTCGGGAATCAGTGTTAAATTTAATAAGGACAGATCGCATGGAAAGTGTAACTCAGAGAAAAAAATAGTTGGTATTAATTTTGATTTTATTTTGTTAATTTACTTTTATATTTATTACATAATGACTTTCATAATATGTTTTCTCACATACAATATTAAGTTATCTTTGTTATGTTCTTTACTTACTAACTTTATAAATATTGACGTCATTACAATTTAGTTTCAGAAGTTTAAATTAATATTTACAAGCTTAGGGAACACCAGGGTTTTAAAAATACTGCTCTTATGTAGTACTTTTGGTTTGTCAATATGTGCTACTTTATCCCTCACATCTGATCTAGACAAATCACCCCTCAGGTTAAGAAGTCGTAGCAAATGGTCATCAGTAATGTCTGGATACTTCTCAACTACTCTATGTAGCTCAAATGAAAGCATGTCGTCATCACTTTTAACGACCTCCGAAAGCATTATAACAGCATCAAACGGATTCTCACATTCCAAGTCATTACTTAAAGTTAAGAACAATTGGTTAAATCTGCTAGCTTCCTCTGAAACCTTTTGTGCAGCTTTCATACACTCGTCAAATGTTTTAAAAGAAATTCTTCTGGATAACATCGCTGTTAAATATCGTCTTCCTACCATAGTAACTACCTGTTCTACTACATATTTATAATTTGCTTCAACTAAACGATTATAATCTTGGAAATAATCTTCAATGGTTACATATATTGTGTCAGCTGGATTAGCAGGAAACCAATGGCTTGTGAAAAGCTTGTCAAAATGCTGATCCAGATCTACAAATGGTTCTTCAAGTAAATATTGGACGGCTTCATTTCTTAATTTCTGTAAACACAAATTATATCACATAAAATAAAGAAAATACATAAATGGATTTCCTTACTATATATGTAGTCTTCAGCAGACCAAAATTCCTAGCTAAATCATGTGATGTATTGTTCTTGACATACTGTTTCTCTAACTGTGAACCCAGTTCCACAAGTTGGAGGCAATTGTTTACAATAACTATCATATATTGGGTGAAATATATGACCTGCAAAAAACAGAATTGTTCATTTGTATATACAGGGTTGCGCAATTGAACTGTTACCAATTTCACATCGATATATCTGGCAAATCGATGACAGCTATGTCAAAGTTAGCCTGATAATACTTCAGTATAATGTTTATAAGCCGTCAAAAACATTTGCATTTAAGTATGCATACATACAACAAAAGTTATTCGCAATGGACTTTAAACGTAATAGTGTTATTGCGTTATATTTAGCTGGAAAATAACAACCAGCTATTGTTCATCAGCTCAAACACCTCAAAGTGAATAAAATGTTTGTGTATCGCACCATAACTCGTTATAATGATACTGGTAGCATTGCCAAACGCTATGGTGGTGGACGAAAAAACAGCAACATCACCTGAAATGGTTCAGAAAGTGAAGGCTCGACTTGAGCGAAATCCACGACGTAGAATGGCCACAGCACTGAAAATATCCCAGCGAAGCGTGCAACGAATATTGAAAAAGGAGCTCAAGTTCCAAAAAGCACACAATATTATACCAAAGCAAAAAAAGTTAGGCTTGAAAGAGCAAAGAAGTTGTTATGCCTGCACGAACGTGGCGAATTTCCGAACATAGTGTTCTCTGATGAGAAAAATTTCCCTATTGAGCAGTTCACAAACTCTCAAAATGATCGTATTTTCTTGACCGAACGCACCTACGAAAGTTTGAGCTTACAAACGGCCACCCGAAGTAATTTCACATCTCAAGTAATGGTATGGGAAGCTGTAACCGCCGATGGACGCTCTCCAATCGTTTTTGTTGAAACTATATTCAGCTTGTACTTTCGGTAAACTCAACCAAAATAAATTCACACAAAAAAATTATGGTCGTTTGAATAGGTAACAGTTCAGTTATATTTTGCAACATTTTTTTTAAATTGTACTGATACAAATACCTGCTTTCTGTCTTCAAAATATTTATTTTTAAATTCAATAATAGCATCTCTAAAGGCATCTGCAAACATTATGACTTGTTGGATACTTAAATTCAAGCTTTTTATAGTCAAATCTTCACTGAAACAGACAACATTTCTTTAATAAACAAAAAATTGATCATCCTCTTCTAATATTATAGAAAACAATCTATTATAAACTATTCATATCTGATATGTTTTAATATACATTTCTAGGTGGGCTGTATTCCGTTGTACATTTTCTTTATTTACTAATCCTTCAAAAAGGCTAAAGTATACTACCTGATAGTTTTTGCCACTTGTAAGTTTTGATCTATCATCTGGAAAATTATTATTGGAGCAGCTGTCCTAGAATATGACTCCAAATGTGGTTCTGTGTTAGACCTCCATTCTTCTTTCTCAGATTTGAGTGTATTTTGCATCCATTCTATATAATTAGATTCTATATTCTAAAAAATAGATTATGTTAACCAAGACAACTAACTTAAATAAAATGGTACCTTCATATAATCTCCTTCTAACCTATCTAGAACTGCTTGAGGGAGTAAAGGGGATAGTTTTTCAGTATACACTGCCAAATCAGGGTGACCCAGCATATCATTTGCTTGGTAGGTTTTCAACACCCATGATAACATTGTTACATACTCATTACCTTTTAAACCGTTTTGGATTATTTCTTGTAACTAGAACAAACAAAATGAAGCTTTTAAAATCAAGGCTGTGAAATAGTAAATGGCAAATCAACTATAGCAATATGTTCAGTTTTTCCAAAATAATAAATAACAACCTAATACACTAATTAAATAACAAAAATATATCTTACATGCAACGAAAGACACCCATGGTACATTTGTATATATCTATTCAATATCTTGTAGCTTGGTGGAAAACACGGAAGACAAAGAGTTTTTACAATCCTTAAATCCTCCACAATGGTCATTCTTATTAATTCTAGGTATCTTATAAGCCAATGCTTATTGTCTTCCCTTTCTTCAACCTGTGTTCCTTCTATTTTGGAAGACACAGACTTTTCAAAAATTTTAAAAGCCATATCTTTCCACTTCTTGGGACGACTTGGAGGAATAAAACCAGTCTGTTTCTGTTGCTTTAAGGCTTCTTCATCAGCTTTTTCTTCACGTTCTATTATTCTTAAAGCCGTTACTATCACTGTAGGGTCTTTTCTAACAGTGTTTAATGTTCTGGAAAGTATAAATGTTAATTGCTTCTCGAGAAGATTGGAAAGAACTTCTACATCGGCAAAATATGCTTTCAACATTGACTTATCATGTACAGATTGGTTGGGCAGCTTATGTAGCTCAAATAGTAAATCGTCTCTTGAATTTTCCAAGTCTCTCAGACACTAAAATGTAAATATGTCAGACTATAAATGTTAATTTAAACAAGTATTTGGTAAAAAGCATATCTTTTATAAAATCTACATTATGATAATATTAAACTGCACCTGATGTGTATGCAATAACTTCCCCTCATTTATCAATGCTTTAGTCTTTTCAACGCTTTCTGGTACAGTAAAAATATGTTTGAGATTTTCTTTGGCAGTAACATATTGTGAGTGTCTCATATTTTCATCTCTGACATCATTAAGTCTTTTGCACAATTCAGGAACATCCGCAAATAGGTCATACATTTTCTTCACACTTTCAATACAAAAAAAAAAGAAATATTAATATTCATTGGTATATAACAAAAATATATGATGTTCATTGATTAACTGATATCAAAAAGTCTTTTACAAATTTAAAAAATGTACTCACAGTTAAAATGAATATAACTTCAATAAAAACATTATCAATGGGCTAAAAGTGAGCTATAGTGGGTGATCAAATTATTATGATCACTTCAAAAAACTTTGTATTTTGCTATTTAATAAAGAATAAAACTGCATATAGGCGTCTAATGATGTAAATATAATATAAAAATAGATCATAAACACATTCTTTTACAAAATTTTAAAATATTTGTGTGACCTCTTTTAGCTTCAATGACAGCTTTGATCCTCCTTGGCATGCTTTGAATGTTTCTCAGGCAGTCTTCTTTTATTTTATCGTTTCTGTGCCAGGTGGCAATGAGTATCTCAAATAACTGCTGCTTTTTGTGATAGTTTCCTGGGCAATCCCTCTCTTCATAAGCTCCCATAGATTTTCGATTGGATTGAGGTCTAGGAAATTACCTGGCCACTTCAGTACTTTAATTTTTTTTCCAGGTACTATGTTACTGTTTTTGTCTTATGGCACAGTGCTGAATCGTGCATAAAGGTAAAATCCTCTGATTTGCCAAACCAGTCTTTGATTTGTGGCATGAGCTTTCTTTCCAGAATTTCAATATACTGATGATTCATCATTCTATTCAAAATGTACAGCCTCCCTGATGAGGTACATAGAAATTACAAAGGAATGAAGTAAGCACGGATAAAACTAGAAATTCAAAATACACACAAGGAAAAAATATAAATAATTAAGAGAAATTACCATATCAAAATGACAGAGAGCATACTTACCTAATATTTATATCAGCCACATCTTCAAGACATCTATGTAGTTGAGTGAGACCTACTCGTACCCCATCTAACTGTTGCTGCATTGCTGATTTCAATAATGCTTCGACTGATGCCTTCTTTCGAACATATCTTTGCTTTATTTGATCAATTTTCTCTAACTGTCCTGGTCTATTAAGAGTATTGATAACTTTTGTGGTTGCAGAAACTTTAGCAGCCGCCTCCAGCTCCCTCATATTAATTTTTTCTAATAGGTAATCAAAAATGTAAATTAAATAAGATAAAATGAGACATAAAAGTGTAGAAACTAAAGGAAGACGGGAAACGTCAAAGAAAATTTATGGATAAACAAAACAACAATGGATAAATAAATACGATTTGTGGAAGATTAGATAAATAAGTAGATTTTAAATAATTATTTTACTTACTATAGCCCATTATAGTAAAAATTAAAACAATATCACAAAATAATACACTTGTCAATACCAGACAAATACATAACCTATTAAACAGACTAAAAATAAATATTAAATCCTCCCTAAAATATAGTCCAAAATCATGCAACACCCATTACAATTTATTGTATAATACATTGCAGTAAGTATGACATGTGATTTAAATTTAAAAATAAATTTGTTTTTATATGTCATAAATTAATTCATAACTTCTTGTTCTATTGTTGGTTTTATTTGTAAAATCTTTTATTTTAAGTAACATAAATACGAAAATAGTTTTATTATTCACATCATATTATTATAGTTATGTAAAAAGGAAAAATTGAGTAATTAATCTCCAGTTTTTTGTTACAAATCCATAACTTTCTGAATTTTATAACAGCCTTTGAATAAAACATATCTGTTTATTTAATGATTACAGAACAGAAATCTTTCGATTTTAATATACTTTAAAGTATGCCGACGTATGACTACGAATATTTGAAACCAAATATAAATTTCCCTTGAGTGTATTCGTACATGTTTATTTTTGTAAATTTGTTATTGTAGACATTTAATACTATTCAAATCAAAAATACAATATAGTATTACTGATGAATTTTTAACTGAACTATACTCTTTGATATTTTTAGAAATATTTTTGTGTACTTAAAAATTCATGAACCTACTTACACCTTTTTGTTTTACAAGTTTTTGTATTTTTATACCTACCAATGTATGTAAACTGGGATCAAAAACTAAGTTTAAAAATTACAGATATTAAAAAATTAAGAAAATGTCTCAGTGCCATTTTAAAATTATTATTGTTGCTTTTCCCTTGACTTGAGAATGAAGTAATCGATTATCGAATTACACGATTTTTATCGATTGTAAGAATCGAGTGTTAAGTTGTTTTCATTCGAAGGAATCCAATTCCGTATTCCTTCTTTCCTTTCAGTTTGTGTTTAGATCAGTTTGTGGAAAGTGCAGTGTTTTAGTTTGAGTTATGTGGACCCGCACATGTGATGATTTTAAAGTTCAATGATTTCATTTTCCAAACAAAACGTTAGTTCAATTTACGATGATTTTTATCTTAAATAATAGGTAAGTCTGTTTTTCTTTTAAATATAGTCAATTATTTCTCAAGTACATTGACAATACGGATGCTGTATACCTATCTGATCTCTTGTTTTATATGAATGTCTGTACTCTGTACTCATAATATTTCCAAGATTGTCTGTTACTGATGAAGAACATGATCAACATTTATAGAAATAAATAATTAAGTGGGTTAAATAGATTCCTTACACGTAGATGTATTTGAGATTCGTAATTTAAATAAATAAAAGCGTTAAAAAATTGTAAATTTCGTTTAAAAACCTGTAAATAGGTTTACAAGTTTACTTTTTTACTACCCCCTTAGTATCTATTACAATACTGCAGCTGGGTACATGCTGAATATGTCATTGTTTACCTGTTCATCTTGTTTCAATTGGGTTAGGTACCTGTGGGTCCTCGATAGAGGTACTAATTTTGTAAAGGTACTTATTAGGTACGAGGTCGTCTCCACCACATTCTTTCTTTACAAATTGGGTCTAGTTTTGAGTGACATTGATATATGTGCTATTTTATAGCTAGTTACATTTTTTTTGTATAAGAATGTGTTCTAAATTGTTGTTATTTACGTGGTAAATACCAAAAGATTTTTATTTATTGTTAGGGAGCCTGGGCCTCATTCCTTGGATACCCTACGACTATATTGTTGTACTAATATTAAGAGTAGTTATTAATAATAGGTCGTTTGTAAATTTTAAAATGTCCATATCTCTAGCTTTTATCAATCCACTCTACATAATTTTTTTTTCGTGATCTTTACTAGTTTTTTTTAATCCTATATATTTATATATTATATAAAACATTTTGGGTTTCAATTTTTACTCCGGTTTGTACGTTTTTGTCTTTTAAATTTGTCCATTCATCATTTTAGAGACGTATTTTTTCCCTGAAAAGATTTACACATAATCTCTATGGTTAAATTAAATACATATTTTATAATATTTCCATTTCTTCCTTGAGTATTTATATTCCTTGGGTAATTATAGTTCCCTATAATATACTGATTTGTGCATCTCCTAATTTACATTTGGAAACCAATCTAAAGTATAAAATGTCACAGCTCTTCAATTAAACCTAGTGGCACTAATATGTTGCTAGTCGTTTTATTTGTGAGTTAAAATAGCTAGCAATTAGGTTAGCTAAGTGGTTTCTACAGCAGCACATCCAAAAATGTTCTAAGAATGTATAGGTACCTCTAGTTTTACTTCTAAAATAGTTATCATTTATACAGTGTGTCTGTAAAGTATGGAATAAATTCGATATTTCCCAAATGAAAAGCCTTTTTAAAAAAATGTAAAACACGTCGATTTTTAAATTTAATGTTCTACATTTTACAATAAAATTTCAAAAAATTTTGATTGACTGATTTTTAAAAAGTATAATGCTCTGGGCTAATGGATATAATTTGAAAGATTTGCGCTTAGAAAATAAATTATTTTATATAATAAATAATAATAATAGTAATAACAATTAAGTAGTACAATAATTGTATTAATTCGTGAATGTTCTGTATTATTGCTTAGAATTAATTTTAAGTAGAAATGAATTTGAGTGTAAAGCAAAGAATTGAAATACTCATGATGATTGGGTATGGAGACAAATCGCGAACTCAGATGGAAGTGATTTAATGATAAATATCCAGAAATATCCATCACGCAGTGAACAATATTCAACAAATTTCGAGAAACTGGTACAGTTGAAAATGCATGCAAGGACGTCCCTCTTAAAGTAAACATGCACAGTTGTACAGGAATTAACACGTTCAGTCCCGGGTAGCATCAATATGATGCCTCACTGAATAGTACTCTTGGGACAGTGAGGCATCATTCTAATGCCACACTACAGTTTTGTATTCGGGACACCGTGGTATCAACTGTGCCCCACAGCTATATAAATTACATTGTAAGTTGGACAGGGTGGTCCAAGAAGCAAAATAATATTTCTTGATTGAATGTGAGACAGTTTTTACGAAAGATATGGAAATTATAAAACTTTATGAGAAAAATAAAAGATTTTATTCAGAATGTGCAAAAATAATTATAATAATATAACACCTTATTATATTAAAACAGCATTAAGTATATGTTGAGAAAAAACAAGAAATACAATAATGTTTTTTTGCATTGGTTGCACAAAAATTTAGAACGAGAACACTTGTGTTGAGCTTCCTTTCGCCCCAATTTATTCTTCATTCTGACGTAGCAAACCACACATCTGTTTTTTCTTCCTTCTACAAGCTCATGACTGATATCGATGTTATCGTTGATATTAGTTTCAATAGCGGACATTTCACCCAGTTGTTCTATAGCGACTTCTGTTTTGAACTCTGTTATAATCAATTTAGTTTGTGTAACCTGTTTATATACAATATGAGTATTCACCAAGGCACTACCAAACAATAATTCCGTGTCTAATTTCCTCTACCATTTATTCCCTCGTCTCAAGCAATGTGAATACGCTTTTTTCTGATTTGAGACATCAATAAAGGATTTTGAATCATTATAATCAACAATCATTTTGGGCTTTTCAATTTCTTTGCCTTTGTTTAGACGTTTCAACATTCCATCCCCATGCTTTGTACTAATCATCAGGACATCGCTTTTGTCACCATTTTAACATTACAGCTCCGTAATTACTTTGTAGGGGAAGTTGTTTGAATTTCAAGCGACCACGATAAGGTACCATCGTCTCGTCAATACAGACATTTTCTCCTGGAGTAACAATTTGCTGAAATCTAAAAATCAGTTTTTGAACCAACGGAGATATTTTGTGAAGCCGATCAAAATCCGATGAATTTGGTTGTGGCGCTGTTTCATTATTGTTGAAGTGAATATTTGAAAGTAATTGCTCAAAACGATTTCTAGACATTTTGTGTCTTATATTGGTAACAAATAAGTATTTTCTGCTCCAATAGGCGCGTAATCGTGGTATTTTTAGAATCCCATCCACATAATTATCCCAAAGAATATTTCCATTTCTTTTTTTTGTAGTATCCAAGTTTACATTTAGATTTGGCTACAACAGGTCGGCCATTTATCTGTTAATCTGATAAATTCGGTTGATCAACTATATAATCGATCCAGTCACAAATAGTTTGTAAAAGAAATAAGGAGTTTCTGTAAAATTGTTATAATATTCCAGTCTTACCTCAGCATTCTGAATAGTCTGCGGAAAATTTTTCAACTTGGAAATGTCAACTTAGCTCCATAATAAATCTGAATTCTCCCCTTCATCTTCTTCTGCGACAACAGCAAATGCAGAAATTACAGTTTCTATTGTCTGTTGTATCAGTTCATCCTAAACAGAAATTAGGTATAACTTTCCAGAATGAACATAAAACTTACCTGATTTTCAACGGCCCGTAACGCTATTTTTGGTATACCGCTAGGCCCTGGCACTGCAAGATTGCATTCGTCCGGTACTTCACTGATGCCATGTAATTTTCTCAGTTTCCTAGGAATTTCTTCGAAAGAATTGTATGAGAGAAGAATGAACAAGTTTGAGGCATCACGTAAATGCCACGCTCTCCAGACAAACAAATTTATAGTTCTCGGACAGCAAGGCATCAATGTAATGCCTCAAAAATGTTGTACAATAACTCGATTGTCAAATATTTTTTTGAAAATGAATAAAAAATGCGGAAAGGCATCTACGACTCCCGTCTTCTTTACAAAAGTTAAAATGTGACCAATGGACAAGAAAAAAATTATAAAACCCGGGGCTGAACGTATTAAACGATAATGATCCAGATAGAAGAATGCAATTTTGCGAAGCAATGATGGATAACTGTCACCAAGACCGTCTCTTGGTACAAAACATTATTTTTTCTGATGAGACCACTTTCACTTTAAATGGCGAGGTTAACCGTTAGAATTGTAGATACTGGGCAAAAGAAAACTCCAACTGGATGCGGGAACATCATACACAATACCCGCAAAAGGTAAACGTATGGGGTAGCATTGTAAGAAATAGAATCATCGGACACTACTTTTTCGAAGGTAATTTAAACGGGCCAGCATACCTTCAGTTTTTAAGTGTTTGGGTGGTTTTGAACAGGTGGATTGGAAGACGTGGACATATTGAATGGCCAGCGAGGTCGCCAGATCTCAATTCTCTGGAATATTTCATGTGGGGTCATTTAAAGAATGTTTATAAAACGAAACCTGCAAATATTGGAGACTTAAAAACAAGAATTCGTAAAGAAATATAATATAATCCACAAGAATTTTAAGTTATTTATTATAATTTATTAATATTATAAATCAACAAAAATTAATTTTCTAAGCGCATCATCATCATCACAGTCATTAACATCTTAGCAGATGTGTTGTGGTTTATAATTGGGCTTCAGCAGCTCGGACAGTTTGATTGATAATATTTCTCCACTGGTCGCGGTCATCAGTTATATGTATTGCCTCAGTATACTGTTTATTGAGAAGCTTTTTAGTAATGTCCGCCCATCGCTGTGGAGATCTTCCGCGTTGGCGTTGAGTCTGAGGCCTTCCTTGGACCACCAACCGCTCCATTTTGTGATCACTTCGATGGATATGGCCAAAGAACTTCAAAATTCTAGAGTAAACGGTACTGGAGAGACGCTGATCCGGTTTAATTTCATCCAGAACCGAGATATTTGTACGGCGAGCGTCTAAGCGCATATCTTGGGGATATCTACTGGGGATATAATTATTATATTATCTATTTTCGGAATCAGCTCATTTTTATTGATCTAAAAATGTCCTAAAATACAGGGTGTTACATTTAAAAAAGAGCCGATGACGTCATCACTGTAATGTGTATCACCTTGTATAATGAAATTTTATTGTAAAATGTAGAACATTAAATTTAAAAATCGATGTGTTTTAGATTTTTTTAAAAAGGCTTTTCATTTAGGAAATATCGAATTTATTCCATACTTTACAGACACGCTGTATAAACAGTAAGATTAATTTATGATTCTTATTTCGTTTTTAATTTTACGTTTTGATTAT